CAGAATTCTATCATGCCATCTCCAGCATCATTTCTATCATCGAGGCCATATTTTCCAACTACTTGTCCTTCCTCTTTGCTCCCAACCTTTGTGTTTCAATCGCTGGTAATGATCAATACATCTTGATTGCATGTTTGATCAATTTCAGATGGAAGAAGTTGGTAGAATTCTTCTATTTCTTCCTCACTGGCTTTAACGGTTGGTGTGTAAATTTGAATACTAATGGTATTAACTGGTGTTCCCTGTAGGCACATGGATATTATCCTATCACAGACAGTGTTGTACCTCATGACTGATCTGATATGTTCTTTTTGACAATGAATGCAACACTATTCTTCTTCAATTTGTCATTCCCTGTATAGTAAACCATGTGGTTGTCAGATTCAAAATGGCCAATACTAGTCCACTTCAGCTCACTAATGCCTAAGATACCAATGTTTATACGTTCAATTTCATTTTTGACAATTTCTAATTTTCCTAGATTCATACTTGGTACATCCCACGTTCTGATTACTGGATGTTTACAGCTGTTTCTCTTCATTTTGAGTTGTGCCCCATCAGCAAATGAACAACCTGCGGGCTTTACTCCCACAGGCTTTACTCCATTCATGTCATCACGGTCAACTCTACTTTGAGGAGGAAGCTCTTCCTCAGTCGCATTTTGAGTGCCTTCCAAGCTGAGGGGCTCATTTTCCAGCGCTGTATCTCACAGTGTTTCTCTGCTATTCATAAGGTTTTCAGTAACTAAATATTCAGAAGAAGTTCATCCCTCTTTCTTCCTAGTCTGTCTTCATCTGGAAGCTCATCTGAAATCTGTCCACCATGGGTGACCCTGGCAGTATTTAAAATACCAGTGCTATAGCTTCCAGAATCACAGCAACTCATAAGCCACCACAGATAAACTGATAAGATGTGTGGTGGAAATTCTTCTATAGACTTGCTTATCCATTGTCCAACTTTTCAATGCATATGATGTGACTGAAAATACCAAGGCCATGTGTCAGGCACATTGTTGTCCTCAAACTAACATCTTTGCTCTTTAACACTTCAAAGAGGTCTTTTGTAGCAGATTTGCCAAATGCAATACGTCTTGTGATTTCTTGACTGCTGCTTCCACGAGTGTTTATTTTGGATCTAAACGAAATTAAACCTTTGACAACTTCAATCTTTTCTCCCTTTATCATGATGCTATTTTTTGGTCCAGTTGTGAGGATTTTTGTTTTCTTTAAATTGAATTGCAATTCACACAGAAGGCTGTATGCATTCTTTGATCTTCATAAGTAAGTATTTCAAATTCTGTTCGCTTTCAACAGGCAAGGTTGTTACCATCTGCATTATCATGGTTGTTAATGAGTCTTCCTCAGTCTTGGTGCCCTGTTCATATAATTCAGCTTCTAAGATTATTATATTTGCTCAGTGTACAGATCGAATACATATGGTAGCAGTACATAGCACTGGTACGTTCCTTAGACTGGCTTTGTTTTAATGACCCACAATTTAAAATCACTATGGAAAGGAACTAGTAACTTTAGTTGTCTCTAAACACGGGTCCTGCTGATTGGTGGAGAGCTGCACAGGGGCAGGGAGTTTTCACTGTGTTTGAAATATTTGATTTTTTGTGGTGCTGTGGGTTAATTCGCCAGACTGCAAAGTCATTTGAACTGCATGGTCGGCGGTTCAAACTCATCAGGTGCTTCTTGAAAACCCTATGGGTTGGAATTGACTTGACGGCACTCAACAACAAAACCTATTTTATGGAGTCCCGGTGTGGCGCTGTGGGTTAATGCGCTGGACTGCAAAGTCGGTTTGAACCATAAGGTTGGTGGTTCAAGCTCACCAGCGGTTCCTTGGAAACCCTACACAGGGTCGCTATGGGTTGGAACCAACTCGGGCAGCACTTAACATCAACAACAACATAACATATTTTAGACTTCTGGATGGCGCTGTAGGATAAGCAAACTGCAAAGTCAGTGGTTCAAACCTACTAGCTGCTTCTCAGAAACCCTATACAGGGTCGCAATGAGTCAGAATAGAGTCGATAGCACTCAGCAGCAACTATATAACCTATTCTACCTATGAGGAAGCTTCAATAGATTCATGGAAAATTTTAATAACTTTCTATTTCATTTTTCCATGAGCTTTTTGTTGTGAAGAATTGATGCATTTGAGTTATGGTGTTGGAGAATATTGAAAGTACCATGGATTGCCAAAAGAACCACCACAAAAAAATGCATCTTGGCAGAGGTACATCCAGAATGTCCTTTAGAAGTCAGGATGGCGAGACTTCCATCTCTCATATTTTAGATTTATTATCAGGAGGGACCAGTCCCTGGAGATGGATATCATGCTTGGTAAAGTGAAGGGTCAGCAAAAAAGAGAAAGACCCCCGATGAGATGAATTGATGCAGAGACAACAACTGTGAGGATGATGCCGGACTGAGCTTTGTTTCTTTCTGTTGTTGTGAGTCAGAAGAGACTCGACAGCAGCTAACAACTACAAACCAGTTATGGAAGGAGCCTGGTAGTGTAATGTGTTGAGCTGGGCTGCAAACCACAAGGTCGGCAGTTTGAATACACCACCTGCTTCATGGGAGAAAGATGAGGCTTTCTGCTCCCGTAAAGATTGACAGCCTCTGAAATCCTGTACAGGATCACCACGAGTTAGAAACAACTCCATGGCACCACCACCACCAGCATACTACTATGGATTGCTGGTGTGGCCCTGGAGCTTAAATGCTAGACTGCTAACCACAAGGTCAGAGGATCAAACCCACCAGCTGCTTCTCGGAAACCCTATACAGGATCGCTATGAGTTGGAACCAACTCTGTGGCACTTCACAGCAACAAACAACGTACCAATTATATACCAATTATAATTTCACATGTGTCAGACTAGAACTGTACTCCATTGGGTTTACAATGGGTGGTATTTTTTTTCAGAGATAGGTTGCCAGGCTTTTTTCTCAAGATGCCTCTGGTTGGACTTGAACCACCAACCTCTTGGTTAGGAGCTGAGTGTGCTAACCCAGTCTTAGTTCTTTACTACTGCTGTAACCGAAATGCCACAAGTAATGGCTTTCAGAAACAGACTTATTTAATCTCACAGTCCAGGAGACTACGAGCCCATTTTTAGGGCATGAGTTTCTCTCTCTAGGGACAGATCATTGTTTCTCTCAGCTTCTGTGGTTCCTCAGTTCCTTGGTGGTCTTCCGGCGGCATCTATTTCTCTCCTATATGTTTACTTTGTGACTAATCTGCTCAGAAGTGATGAAGTTTAAGACACACTAGGTTGGCCCAGAATGGGGCAGTGTTTCGTTCCGCTGTGCATAAGGTCGCTATGAGTTGGTACCTACTTGATGGCACCTAACAACAACAACAACAACAACAAACACTGATGTTGGGGTCTTGGTGTGGGCTGTGGGCTAATGTGTCAAACTGCAAAGTCGTTTGAGCTATAAGATTAGTGGTTTCCGTGGTTCAAGCTCACCAGCTGCTCCTTGGAAACCCTATACAGCATCACTATGAGTTGGAATAGATTCAATAGCTCATAACAACACCAACTACACTGATGTTGCCTCACAAACATAACAAAAGAAATTCCCAAAGGGATTTTAGTCCAAAAGGTACACGGGTGAGGATTCTAACATAGATTTGGGGGGACACAATTAATTCCATAACAACCCTTTGCCCATTTGCACAACCTATAGCTAGATCTATGTAACACATTTACATCTCTGACATCCAGGCCAGGGTATTTATTAGAACGGCATTTCAGAGATACTGGTCCCCATTGCAGAAAATGGCACATTCCCTCAGCTGCTAGGGTCCAAACCCTAGAGACCATCTTTGCCTCCTCTCCTACCTTCTCATCTCTCAGTAAGTCGTACACCTTCACCTTCACATTGTATCCCAGTGGGACCATCTCTCTCCACTTTCCCACCATCACCTCTTGCCTTCCAGACTGGACCCAATAGACAATTTGCCGGCAGCCAGAGTGATCTTCCTGAGCTATTAAGACAATAATGGAAAACACTCCTACACCAGTAAAGGGCCAAGTATTTTTCTGAGTGCTTTCCACGTGTGTAGTCATTCAATCCTCACAACACCCTAGGATGTCAGGACTGTTAGCCTCATTCTGCAAGGCAGGAAGGAGAAAGGGGAAGAGCTGGTGGAGAGACGCTGTGTATGCTTTCCTCAAGTCACAGCCTGGGGACCCTGGCTTCCTCTACCAAGGGACAGTCCCCCTCCCCGCCCCAGGACTGCCCGCTTGCCAGAACCTTCCCATCGCAAAACCCTGCCCAAACTCCAGTCCAACTTGCAAAGGACCTCCTGGGCTCGGAAAGTCAGGCCCTGTGCCCCCTTCCCCGAGACAGCCTGCCCAGGCCTTGCCCAGTCGGCTGAAGCCATTTCCCCAAAGTCCCATCTAGTCCCCGCGCACGCCTGCCTCGTTCCACTCCCTCGCCTAGCCTGCTGAAGACCAGCCGCAAACCCACCCACTTAAGTCCCATCCAATCCATGCCCACACCCCATCCCTGCCACGGTCAGTCCAGGCTTGTGGAGCATCTGCCACCGCCCCAATCTCCCGGAATCCCATTCATCCAGTCCCCAGAAGCGGCCCTAACCCACTTAACGGTCCCGCTCTGCTCCGCCCCGGTCCCGCCCACCCCCGTCTGTCTCCACTAGCCCCGCCCTGGTCCACCCGGGTCCCGCCCAAGCCCCGCCAGCCGCGAGATCACGTGGACGCACGACCCGGAGGCGGAATCGCCGGCACGGTGTAGACCCGGCAGCTCCGGGAGCCTCGCTCGTCTTTACTGCGGGAGAAGTACGCTGTACCACTGCGCCCCTGCGCCCCGCGCTCGGGCCATGCACATCCCGCGCGTCCGCGCCGCGCTCCTCGCGCTCCTGGCCGCATTGCTGCCCGCGCTCCCCCGGGCCCTTGCGGAGGCCCAGCTCCTGATACGCGTGGACGCGGCCCGCGCGCTGCGGCCCCTGCGGCCTTTCTGGAGGAGCACGGGCTTCTGGTGAGCTCACACGGGGAAACTGAGATCGGAGCGGTCCACCCTCCCCATTTTCCCGCCTTGCACTCTGTGGAAACCGGGGCCCCAGTCCCCGGGACTCCTGGGCCCCCAGCACACAGTCAGTCTTCCAAAACTCGGTGCCCAAGAATGAGCTGGCCTCCCTGGAACCGTTGTGGGTCCATCCTGAGTGTTACAGTAGGGGTTTCTTGCCTATCTGCCACACTTGGGGTGGGGAGGGGTGCGCTATTTGGGATGGGGAGTCTCATACCTGAAAAGTTCTCCCCTAGTGGAGGCTTAAAGCCAGGTCCTGAGTTTGCCTGGGGTAGGGGGCTTCCAGGAGAGCCCAGTGATCACTAAAGGCAACCCATGATGAAGACCCACACAAGGGCCCATGCAGCCCAGGGGTGAATGGGAGTGTGGTGTAGGGCCCCCTCATCAACTGTAGGGTTAAGGGGGTCCCCTCTGAGACCTGTTCTTTTTTTTTTAATGTCTTATTGTGAATTATGTGATAGTTTACATGGGAGAACATTAGTTTTACATTCATCCATTGCCATGGTTACAATCCCCTCCAAGCATCATCAACCAACCAAAGGGTATACCCCACAAGCCTGCCCCTCTGTCTCAGCACACAGCCCCTCCCCTCTTCTGGGTCTAGAGTCCCATCGTCCCATGGTCTCTGCCTCCATCTCTGGTGTCACTGCTTCTCTGGGTAGGGTCCCGCTCTCTGCTCTTCTCCCTCCCCCATAGACAAACAGGATGTGAAACATGCGTAGTACAAATGTCATTTTATTACCTCCAGACACAGTAAAAGTCATTTAGTAAAAACCCACTGGGTCCGGCTGCTGGAGCCAGGTCCTGAGGAGGCACCGAGCGCTGGATTTGTAGGCACCAGATGTTAAGAGACTTGAGGCTCTGTGGGATAAGCACTCTACTGTAATCAGTAGTTTGGCAGTTCAAATCTACCAGCTGCCTTTCTGGAGAAAGATGAGTCATAGAAATTTATAGCCTCAGAAACCTTATACACGGTCACAGTGAGTCAGAATCAACTCATGTCGGGGTGAGGTGGATGTATAGTGGAGGGCTGTTCCTGTCACCCCCACTCTATCAGGGCCCAGAGACTCAGGACTAACACAACCACTACCCTTGTTTCTGTCCCCAGCCCCCCTCTGCCGCATGACCAGGCTGACCAGTACGACCTCAGCTGGGACCAGCAACTCAACCTGGCCTATGTGGGTGCTGTCCCTCATGGGGGCATTGAACAAGTTCGGACCCACTGGCTGCTGGACCTCGTCACAGCCAGGTGGGTGACAGGGTGTGGGGAGCAGCTGGCAAGAATCCCCGCTTGACAGAGATGAAAACCAAGGTTGAGGGAAGAGGTGGGACCCGCTGGTATTCTGCCCTGGAAGTGAAGTGGGAGAGGAAGTGCAGTGCAGTAGGGGCACAGGGTCAATGCCTCCACCAGAACTTCTCCTGACCTCTCCATTTCCTGTCAGGGGGGCGTGTGAGGTCCCTGGGTGCCCTCGAGGCTAGTGGGCAGTACCTGGACCCTGTACAGTAGTCCCCTTGGCCTCCCGTGAGGGACTCAGGATCACACTGGTCCTCTGCTGTAGTTTGCTCTGTACTTGGACATGTTTGCACCCATGTGTCCTTCATGAGTGTATCCCTGGTCTAGGTTACGTCAGGGCGCTGTACCCGAGGGCTTGGCTAAGGCATGCGCTGATTGGTTCCAGGTATTTTAGCCCTGATGTTACCCAGAGGAGCAGCTGGGCCTGCAGCACCAGGTGGAAGAAACATTTGCTGGTGTGGGGAGGTTCTCAGAGATACAGATTCCCTGACACCCTGGACCCAAGTCCCCCGTTTTTACCCAAGACAGGGGCAGGGGCTGGGGCAGGCTGACATAGTGGGGTTTCCCGACAGCAACTTGGAGGCTGTGTGATTTGTGGGGTCATGTGCAAAACAAGGAGCCCTGGGTTGGTGCAAGTGCATTAACCCACACACTTGCTGCAAACCACAAGGGTGGAGACCACCTAGAGTACCTCCGAAGAAAGGTCTGGCGATCTGCTTCTAACACACCAGCCACTGAACACCTGACTTGGGCAGCATGGGGTCACCATGAGTCGGTACTGACTTGATAGTACTTGGTTTTGTTGGTGCAAAATGACTCCGACTTTGAAGACTGTGGTGGGGTGGCTGTTCCGCCTGGGGGGATCCCTGGGGGACTACATTGGTGTCCTGGGATTAGGGCCCAGGTCAGCAGCAAAGGTAGCCTTTGTGTGGAAGACAAGTGATTCTTGAGTCCTGTGTGTGTGTGTGTCTCTGTTCCCATTTTCAATCAGAGCCCCGTGGTTTCGCCAGGGCAGATATGGCATGTGGCCATCGTTTGCGGATGTCTGCAGAGAGCTCCCAGGTGGGAATGGTGATGGCTGGTAGGTGCTGACCCAGCTAGAGGACTGAGTCGGCAGCCGTCAGCTCCTGATGACAGGCTCGAGCCACCTGCACAGCTCTGTACACACTGTGGAATAGCTGCTCCTCTTCAGCTGTGTCCGCCTCGTTCTCCCCGAGGAAGCCACCTTGCCTCAGCATGGCCCTCACCGAGCGGCTGCAGCCCGCAAGGAGCATGGCAATGCCCAGGACTTTGTAGTCCTGGTGTAGGCCCTGCAGCGTGGCCAGTCCAGCCATGTCCAAGAAAAGCAGTGGGGCACAGTCAATGACCACTGTGTGGAAGCTGGCCTCTGGGGACATCAGTGCTGATGTGGTGCCCTCTGGGTTTGGGTGCTTGCGGCCGCTGGCCCTCCCGTCCGGCCCTCGCTTCCTGGCAGCTTCACGCCCTGCGTCCAGTCCTGTGAGGCTATAGAGTGACCGCAGGAAGATGTCCTTGTTGGCATAGTAGAGTGGCCCCGTGAAGCGGAAAATGCGCACGCCTGGCTCAGGGACCAGGCCCTCGAACTCGGTGACATCCTCGTACAAAGCAGAACGGGGGATGCGTGCGAGCAGGGCTGTATGTGGGCGCTGTGTGCGGCCGGCCAAGCTGAGCAGCGAAATGAACATACCCACCAGCAGTCCCGCCTCAATGCTGACCAGCACGCAGGTGATCGCAGTGGCCACCCAGACCAGTGCGTCGGCCGGGCTGAGCCGCCACAGCTGCGGAAGGTCTCCCACCTTGCGTAGGGCCCCCCGCAGGCTGACGATGATGATGCATGCCAGGACACATCTCTGCAGGTCCCGAAAGAGCGGCGCCAGGGCCACTAGCACCAGCAGCACCACGGCAGCGCTGACCACGCTGGACACCTGCGTGCGGCAACCTGTGGCCGTCTTCACCAGACTTTTGCTCAGGGCGGCGCTGGTGACAAAGCAGTGGAAGAAGGCGGGCACCACGTTGCAGAAGCCCACAGCCAGGAGCTCCTGGTTGGCACGGACGGAGTAGCCGTGGTTCCGGGCAAACATCTCTGCCAGCGAGACAGAGAAGGCAGAACCCATGAGGGCCAGGGGGACAGCGTCCAGTGCTACTCGCCACATCAGTTCTGGGTCAGGCACCTGTGGGGCCAGGAAGCCAGTAGGGATGTCGCCGGCCACGCTGGAGCCAAACCGTTGGTAAAATTGCCCAAAGTGGGAGGCGAGTGTGGCTGCCACGATGACCACCAGCTCCATGGGCAGTGGCACCTTCAGGCGGTGCCGGTAGCGGTCCGAGAGCTCCTTGGTAACCAGCAGCAGGAGCAGGCACACGGCGCTGGTGACCACATCACACACGTTGGACTGGCCCAAGTTTTGTAGCAGACTCAGCCATGTGCTTAACACCATCCCGGGACCCTGGTACCGTGGGACCCGTACGCCCAGCAGGTGCTTGACCTGTGAGGTCAGGATCGTCAGGGAGGCCCCCATGGCAAAGCCATCGAGCAGTGGTGGTGAGAGGTAGGTGGACAGGAAGCCCAGCCGGAGGACACCCAGGAGGACCTGTGAACAGAACGCAGGGAGGGTGGCCCCAAGTGGGGGTTAGCTACACCATTCCTGATGCATTAGTGTCCCCCCCTCCACCGTGGGACACGACAGCGCGCTTCACCCACATGCCCTGCACTTGAGTGCCCAGCGAGCCCATCGTATGTGTGTGCAGGACAGACGTAGACCACCATGGGAGCCCCTGCTCCCACTTCCCTGCACGAGGACCACTTTTGTTTCAGAAACAAAGCCTCTGGATTCTGAGGATTTGATCCCCTGCTACTGTTGAGTCGATTGTGACTCGTACCAATCCTGTGGAATGGCCCCGTAGGGCTTCCAAAGGTGTCATCTCTAAGGAATGGCCCATCGGTTTCCCTCTTGGCAGCTGATGGGTTTGAACTCTCGGCCTTTTGGTTTGCAGCCAAACATTTAAGCACTGTGCTACCAGGGCTCCCTGGGAGTAGATGGCAGCCCTCTCTAATCCCCTGACCCCCAGGGCCACTCCCCTGGGGTAAGTTTTCTCCTTGCTTGGTAGGTGGGGGGCCAAGGTAGAGTTTGGAATCTGGAAGCCGCAGACCTAGGACAGGTGAGGTCTCTGGCATCGGGGGGTGGGGCACAGGAAGGACAGCGAAGCCATGTGGGCTGCATTGGTCACGTGTGTAGCTGGCAGTCACACTTTGGCCCCTGGCCCTGAGATGTCCCCACTTGTCCCCCTCTGTTCTTCCTGGTCTCTCTTTTACCTGTTTAAACATCACCTTCCTGACCATGAAGCTAGGCCCACCCACTTGGACCCACCCCAGTGCTTCCTCCTAGGCTCTGCCTTTCTGGGTAGTCTGTGAGTACCCCTGGGGTACACCCTGTCCTGCCCACACCCAGATGCCCCCTTACCTGGTAAATTCCAACCACCAGCGTGAGGGCAGTAGCGACGCGGATGGCGTAGCAGTTCCGTCCGCAGTCAGGCCCAAGTGCCAGCCCAGTGGCTGAGACATTGAGGATGCTATCATTGGCCCCTGGCCGCAGGCCATCCTGAGCGGGGTCTAAGCCGGCCAGCTGGAGCTCACGGTCCACCACCTGACCCACCATGAGGCAGAGCAGGCTGAAGATGCCCACGGACACATGGCGGGAGGTGCCCAGGAGGAAGTAGATGAGGTTGGCGAAGAAGGAGGTATAGAGGCTGTATATGGGCTGCAACCCTGACAGGAGCGAGTAGGCGATGGCCTGAGGTACCAGGATGATGCCGATGACCAGTCCGGACATGACGTCCCCTGCCAGGTACTCCTGCAGGCTGTACTGAGGCAGCCAGCGCACAGCGGGCACCAGGTCCTGCACCAGCTCCCAGGCCTGCTGTCTACGACACGTGCAGTTCCGCCGCAGCCGGCCCTTCAACGTTTCACGCAGGCTCTGGGGGGCTGGGGGCTGCCGGCGGACTAGCGCCTGCCCCCTGTCCTGATGTGCACACTCGGGACATGTCTCCATCTGTGGTGCCAGGCCCCCGGGGCCAACCTGTAGTGGAGAAGTGGTCAGCATGGACCCCCGGCCAAGGAAGGCAAGCTCAAAAATGACTCATGAATCCCAGGGTGGATGGTGGAGGTTGCCCTGTTTCCAGAAACTGGGAGGACTGGGTGGGGGCACTGGATGCTGGTTCCCCTCTCATGTCAACACGGGGGGCCAGACCTGCAGTCCAGTACAAGTGACACAGTGTGGCCGTCCACCTGCCCAGCAAGGACAGTGTCTCACCTGCCAGGCACTTAGCAGAGATACCCCTCCACTTAGTGCCAATGCAGATGACTTCCCACCTTCTTAGCGTCCACCTCACACCCAGCCTGGACAGTGACCCTCCCATTTCAGTGCCCAACATGGATGACACCCCATCCACCCAGTGGCCAGTGTGCAGGATGCCCCATTTCTTTGGTGCCTAAGTGGAGAGCATCTATTCACCCACTGCCCAGTGCAGGTGGCATCCCCCCACTTGGAACCCAGTGTAGACGACTCTCTACCTACTTGGTACCCAGTGTGGATGATGTCAGATCCCCCTCCAATATTCTGTTTTCGGGGCAAACTGATGTGACAAGAGTCTACAGGCCTTAGTGTATACTGAGCAGCTAAGGGCAGCCCCAGATGATGCTCTGCCTAGCCTCGGCCCCCTGCCCAGTCAACACGGCAGCGCCTGCCTGAATTGTCACCTCCCGTGAGTGAGAGAGTATTCAAGAGCAAAGATGTCACTTTGAGGACTAATGTATGCCTGACCCAAGCCATGGTATTTTCAATTGCTTCATATGCATGCTTTTGAGTTGTGTTGGAGGAGAGTATCGAAAGTGCCATGGGCTGCCAAAAGAACCAATAGATCCGCGTTGGAAGAAATGCAGCCAGAGTGCTCCTTGGAGGCCAGGATGGCCAAACTTCGTCTCTCATACTTGGGACATATTGTTAGGAGGGACCAATCACTGGAGAAGGACATCATGTTTAGTAAAGTGGAGGGTCGAAGAAAAAGAGGAAGACCCCCAATGAGATGGATTGGCCAAGTGGCAGCATTGATGGACTCAAGCATGGCAACAGTAGTGAGGTTGGCCCAGGATCGGGCAGTGTTTCGTTCTGCTGTGCATGAGGTCGCTATGTGTCGGTACCGACTTGATGGCACCTAACAATAACAACATATGTATGTGAAAGTTGGACAATGAATAATGAAGACCGTAGAAGAATTGATGCATCTGAGTTAGGGTACTGGAGAAGAATAGTAAAGGTACCATGGAGTGCCAGAAGCACAGCCAGGAAGGTGAAACCATCTTACATATTTTGGTCATGTCAGGAGGTACCGGCTCCTGGTGAAGGACATCATACTTGGTTGAGGGTAAATGAAGAAAAAAACCCTCTAGGCCATGTGTTGACACATAGCGGCAACAAGGAGCTGAAACAATTGTGAGGTTAATGCAGAGCAGACTCCTGTCATTGTGTTGTGCACAGGGTGGCTGTGAGTCACAGCTGACTGAACCACAGCATGCAAGGGAGGGAGAGGTGGTGGTGCAGTGGTTAAGTGCTTGCCTGCGAACTAAAAGGCTGTCAGTTTGAATCCACCAGCCAACTGGCAAGAGGACTAGGAGGCTGGCAGCTTCTGTAAAGATTTATAGCCTTAGGAAACCCTATGGGGGCATGTCTACTGTGTCCTGTGGGGTCACTGTGAGTTGGAACTGCCTCGACAGTCACAGGTACCGGTTTCTGTGTGAGAGAGAACGTACTTGGCTGTTACCATCCGAAAGCGTCCCATAGATAAGACCTGTGATCAGACCTCAGCTCCCTACTGCTCGCCTGGTCAGCTCTCCAGCTTGGTGACAACCTGAAGGCCACCCGGGATCCATCCACACTGCCTCCCTCCACCTCTGTCTCTGCAGACCCTGGTGCTGGGGTGGGGATGCGGTGTGTGGTTCAGAAGGAGAAAGTCTGATGGCCTTAAATCCATGTCTGGGGACAGGACAGTTGGACAACAGAGTGTGCCAGCCACCGCGGTCCTTGGGCAGGATTCCTAGCACATGCCTGAGGAGGAGTGACCACTGCCTGGGTCAGCTTGGAAGGGAGGTAGCGTCCCTGGTGACCTTTCCCCAAGGACGCACCTTGGGTCTTTGAAGACTGGTAACCTTGAGGAGCCTGCCCGTAATGGTACAAGCCACTTGTTGAATGCTGTCTGCCAACGGTGGTTCTGGCCACCCCGTGCCAGAGAAAGTCTTCTGACCTTGCCCTAGCTCCAGAGAGCAGATTGCTGCTGACGTCATGTCGGGGGATACTCACAGATCCAAACCACAACGGTCAGTGCACAGGCGGCCAGCTTTGTTTGCGTAGTTCGCAGTGGCTTAGCCTGGAACAACCCTAAACTTTCGTGGTGACAGGAGTGCCCAGAACTCAGACACCAGCATTGAGTCACATGTGTGCCAGACCAGGATACGAAGTCTCAGCCACCTTCTCTGGGAATGGAGGCCGGGTGGGCAGTGGGGTGTTTTCGAAGGGGTATTTTATAAAAGATGTTTGTCCTTTCTCCAGAAAATTGTCCCAAAGATCTCCCCCATTTGGAGGAGTCTTGGTGTAATGCTGTAGGATAAGCACTGGACTGCTAACCTCAAGGTCAGCAGTTCAAACCCACCAGCTGCTCCTCAGAAACCCTATGCAGGGTTGCTATGAGTTGAAACCGACTTGACAGCAAACACTTTGAAGTTTACCCTGAGCCCCTGGGAACTGGGCTGTATGGAATGAGGAGCAGGTACCACCTAGGGGCTCCTGATGATGCATTGGGGGTTAAGCATTGATTGCTCACCACAAGGTTTGTGGTTCAGCTTCACCGGCCACTCTGTGGGGGGAAGATAAGGCAGTCTATTCTTGTAAAGATTCACAGCTTTGGAAACCCTATGGGGCACTTCTACAATGTCCTATAGGGTCACTGTGAGTCCGGATGGACTCCACAGCAGTGGACTCAGGTAAGTGCCTCCTGACGGTTCCCAAATACCTTCCCCTAAGAAACCCCAGAATTGGGAATGTTTTCCATCCACAATGCCCTGGCCAAATCATTCCCAACCTCGCTGTCTGCCTCTCCTTTAGCCCAGGGAGCTGGCCTCAGCCAGGCAGAGTGACCCCAGCAGGGCTTTCCGATGGATCTTACCTGTGAGGGAGCTGCTGGAAGGCTGGGTGGGCGGCAGGACAGTGGGTGCCCAGCCCTGCTGTGCACCTGAGGCTGTGCCGGCCAGCCTGACCCCTGGGACTTTGGGGCAGCCAGACAGTGCCGCTCACTCTGACTCCTTGGCTGCGCTGAGCTTGCTGTTAAATTATTTACTCCCCAAATTGCTGAGTCACATGCTTGCCCAGACTGGGTGCTAATTGTGTGAGTTGTAATCAGAGATTCACGGTAATTACAGTGTGCTTGCTTCTGATAAACCTGCAGGCTGCCAGGCACAGGCTCCATGACTGTGGGCATGCAGACTGGGACAGGCAGGTGGACAGTGAGTGGGCCATACAGGATTCTTGGATCTTTTGGCTCCTTATGAGGAGGAGGCAGAAGGTGCCCCAGCCAAGCCAGTCCCAGGCTGAAGACAGCTAGCCCGTGCTTGCGCCTATCAGCTCTGGAGCCAAGTGGAGTAGCCCTATCTCCCCTGCGCCCCCCGCAGACTCTGGAGAGTGGACAGGGCAGGACTCTAGGGCTGATCTCTCTTGTGGCCCCATTCTAGTCCAGAGGGAGAGGGCAGGAGTGTCCTGGAGCCGGACCTCTGTTCTGGAATAAAGAGCAGAAGAGAAGCTGCTCATCAGAAAGTGTGTATGTCCACGTGCCCTGGATCCGACTGGTCCCCCTGCCACATCTCCAGAGAATTACCAACCATGTGTGCCTTTCCTACTGTGTGTGTGTAAGGGAGACCTAGGCCCCTGGGGTCTGTGCCCTGCAGCCCCACTAACGGCCTGCTGTCATTGGATGACCCTGGCCTTTGTGTCTCCTCTAGAGCAGGGAGGGGTGACCCGTCTGTCCTGTAGGGCTGGTGTGAGCAGAATGAACCTTTTAAATGAACCTGTGAAACCCTATACAGGGTCGCTATGGGTCGGAACTGACTTGACGGCACTTCATAACAGCAACAATGGCTTCAAGAAGCTCAGGCTAGTACGTGGCACACAGTAAATGCCGAGGGTGAGCTGGTGGAACAATTAATGTGCTGGACTGCTTACAGAGAATTGGAAGTTTCAGTCTACCCCGTGGTGCCTGGTGATCTACTTCTAGAAAAATCAGCCACGGAAACCCTGTGGAGCACAGTTCTGTGAGTCCTCTGAGGTTGTAATGAGTTGGAACTGATTTGATGGCAATAACGTTTACTGTTAAGGAACTATGGTGACAAAGTGGGTAAAACACTAAAGAATTGATGCATTTGCGCTCTGGTGTTGGGGGGAGAATATTGAAAGTACCCTGGACTGTAACAAGAACAAATCTGTTGGAAGAACTATAGTCAGAATGCTCTTTAGAAGCAGGATGATGAGATGTCATCTCTGATTTGTTGTTAGATGCCGTCAAGTTGGTTCTGACTCATAGTAATCCTATACACAACAGAACGAAACACTGCCCGATCCGGTGCCAGCCTCACAATTGTCGTTACACTTGATTTTGAGCCCATTGCTGCTGCCACTGTGCCAGTCTGTCTCACTGGGGGTCTTCCTCTTTTCCTTTGATCCTCCACCTTACCAAACATGATATCCTTTTCCAGGACTAATAATATGCCTTCTGAAAATATGTCTGAAGTAGGAGAGGTGAAATCTTGCCATCCTGGCTGTTAAGTTGCATTCAGGCTGTACTTCTTCCAACACAGATTTGTTCGTTTTTCTGGAAGTCCGTGGTACTTTCAATATTCTTTTCTAGCATCATAGTCCAAATGCATCAATTCTTCTATAGTTGTCTTTATTCATTTTCCAACCTTCACATGCATATGAGGTTGTTGAAAATACCACAGCTTGCCTCAGGTGCACCGTAGTCCTCAAAGTGACATCTTTGCTCTCGAACACTTAAAGACGTCTTGTACAGCTGATTTGCCTAATGCAGTATGGCCTTTTATTTCTTGACTGTTGCCTCCATGAGTGTTGATTAGTGGATCCAAGCAAAATGAAGTCTTTGACAATTTCAATCTTTTCTCCACTTTTATGGATGTCGTTTATTGGTCCAGTGGTGAGGAGTTTTGTTTTGTTTACATTGAAGTGCAGCTCATTCTGAAGGCTGTGGTCTTTGATCTTCATCAGTAAGTATTTTATGTCCTCTTCATTTTCAGCAAGAATGGCTGTATCGTCTGCATACCGCAGGTCATGAATGAGTCTTCCTGCAATTCTGATGCTACATCCTTATTCATATAATCCAGCTTCTCAAATTACTTGCTCAGCATACAGACTGAATAAGTGTGATGAAAGAATACAACCTTGGTGCACACCTTTCCTGATTTTAAATCATTGAGTGTACCCTTGTTTTGTTTGAATTACTGCCTCTAGGTCTGTATACAAGTTCCTCATGAGCACAATAATGTGTTCAGGAATACTCATTCTTTTCAATGTCATCCGTCCATAGCTTGTCATGATTCACACGATCAAAATCCTTTGTGTAGTCAGTAAAGCACAAGTAAACATCTTTCTGGTATTCTCTGCATTCAGCTTAGATCCATCTGATGTCAGCAATGATATCTCTTGTTTCATTTCCTTATTTGAATCTGGCTTGAGTCTCTGAAAGTTCTCTGTCAGTGTATGGCTGCAATCATGTTTGTATTGTCTTTAGCAAAGTTTTACTTGCATATGATGTTACTGATATTGTCTGATGATTTCCACATTCTGTTGCGTTACTTCTCTTTGGAATGGGCACAAATATGGATCTTTTCCAATCAGTTGGCCTTGTAATTGTCTCCCAAATTTCTTGTCGTGAGTGCATCCAGTGCTACATCAGTGTGTTGAAAGATTTCAATTTGTATTCCATCAATTCTCAGAGCCTTGTTCTTTGCCAATGCCTTCAGTGCACCTTGGACTTCTTCCTTGATAGATTACCTCTTGAAAGGTTGACTACTGACCATTTTTTTGGTACAGTGACTCAGTGTGTTGTGTCTCTCTTCTTTTGAGGCTTTCTGTATTATTCAATGTTTTGCCCATAGAATCCTTCAGTACTGCAAGTCCAGGCTTGAAAGTGCTGTTGAGCTGGCTCCAACCCATGGCTACCCTGTATTGGGTTTCCAAGGCTTTTAATCTTTGTGGGAGCTGAAAGCCTCATCTTTCTCCTGGAATAAGTCATGTTGCTGTTGTCACTAAGTGCTGTCGTCAGTTTTGACTCATAGCGACCCTGTGTCGGTTTTCCAAGGAGTGGCTGGTGAATGTGAACCACCAGTCTTTCAGTTCAAACCAACCTTGTGATGGAGTGCTTATCCTACAGTGCCACACCAGGATTAATCACTGGTCTTGCAGAATTCTCTCCTGCGAGCTCCATCATCACGGTTCTGTCACCAAAGCCATATTTTCCAACTACTGGGCCTTCCTTTTGTTTCCAGCCTTTGCATTCCAATCTTGATTGCATGTTTGATCCACTTCAGACTGAAGAAGTTGGTTTTTGTTGTTAAGTGCCGTCGAGTCGGTTCCGACTCATAGTGACCTTGCATAGGGTTTAGAATTCTTCAATTTCACCATCACTGGCTTTAGTTGTTGGCATGTAAATTTGAATAATAGTGATATTAACTGATCTTCCTTGTTGTTGTTGTGAAGTGCCATCGAGTTGGTTCCGACCCATAGCGACCCTGTACAGGGTTTCCGAAGGTGTAAATCTTTACGGGAGTAGGAAGCCTCATCTTTCTCCCGCGGAGCGGCTGGTAGTTTCGAACCGCTGACCTTAAGGTTCAGAGCCCGATTCGTAACCACTATGCTACCAGAGCTCATATATAAATATTATCCTAGCCTTGAAGTAAGAAAGACAGCATTTTACTTCAAGATAGATCTTGAAATGTTCTTTTTGATGATGAATATAACAACATTCCTATTCAGTTGTTCATTCCTGGCATAGTATACCATGTGATTGTCAGATTGAAAATGGTCGATACCAGTTCATTTCATTTCACTAATGCCTAGCATATATAGACTTCTGGTGTGGCACTGTAGGGTAAGCACTGGACTGCAAGATTAGTGGTTCAGGCTCACCAGCTGCTCCTCAGAAACCCTGTACATGGTCACTATGAGCCAGAAATGACTCAATGACATTTTACAACAACAATATCTAGGTTACTGATCTTTATGAATTCCATTTCATTTTTGACAGCTTCCTCTTTTCCTGGGTACATACTTTGCACATTCCATGTTCCTATTACTAATGAATATTTACAGCTGCTTCTCATTTTGAGTTGTGCCCCATCAGCAAAGGAAGATCAACTCTACCCTAGTTGTATTTTGATTGCCTTCTAACCTACGGGCCTCATCTTCTGGCACTTTATCTAACATAATTAGGTTGTTATATGTTGTGTTATACTATTCAACATTCTGGTGCTGACAGTGTTCCACTGCTATTAATAAGGTTTTCAGTGGTTAGACGTTCAGAAGGAGTTCTCCTTTCCTTCTTCCTTGTCCTTCTTAGTCTGGGAAAGCTGCTGAAATGTATCTGCCATGGGTGACCCTGCTGGTATTTAAGATACTCGTCCAGCATCATGCGACATGCAAGCCATCAGTGTGACAAACTGACAGATGAGTCGTGGTCTCTTTTTTGAAAACCCTTGTGTTGAGGATCACCTCTCATACTTTGGACATGTTGTCAGGAGGGACCAGTCCTTGGAGAAGGACATTATGCTTGGTGAAGTAGAGGGTTAACAAAAAAAGAGGAAGCCCCCCAATGAGATGGATTGGCACAGTGGCAGCAGCAATGGGCTCAAGTTGTAACAATGATTGTGAGGATGGCGTAGGACCAGGCCGTGTTTTGTTGTGTTGTGTACAGGGTTGCAGTGAGTCAGAGCCAACTCGGTGGCACCTAATCAAATGGTTGGTGGTTCAAACCCAGCATGTGCACCTAGGGAAAAAAGATGAGGCAATTTGCTTCCGTAAAGGTTTACAGCCTCTGAAAGTCTCTGGGGGCAGCTGTCTGGTCAGCTCGATCTAAGTGGACTGGACTGGACGGCAGACGGTTTGCTTTGGGTTTGCTTTACTGCTGAGGGTGAGGTGCTCTTTTGAAATGCATTCTTCAAAACTTTTTTAAAATGAGGAAATGGCATTAAAGTTTATGTTACTGGGTTCTTGAGGGCTAAGGGGGTGTCACTGTTAAGTGCAGGCAAGTCAGTTCTGACTCATAGCTACCCTGCATAGGGTTTCCAAGGAGCAGCTGGACCTTGTGGTTCAGTCCCGGGCTGATCCTACAGCACCAACCTGCATAGAGTATAAAAAGTGAAAGGTCCCAGGGGCCTTGTCTAGTCCCAAGAGAGGATGAGGCTACATAGCGCCTGCTGTCCTTTGGGGGCTTGGACACCTAGGACAGCCACAGCTCTGGATTTTTACATCCCCTTGGGGGCATGAGAGACCCTTAAGGGAGACATAAAATCCTAGCTGAGGGGCCTATGGGACTCCATTTTCCTGCAACAGGGGACACCTCCCATCTTGGCCCTGCACTGCCTGCAAACCCCAAGGATCTCTCCCTCCTCCAAGTCGGGAGATCTGGGGGCCTATTCCCCTCCTGCCTCCCCCTCCTCCTGGTGGGTGGAGCCATTTGCAGGAGAACAGCTATGGTTTTGGAAGCTGCTTGTTTGCCAGTGGGAGAGGGTAGGTGAGTCACCCAGTTAGGGAGCAGATAAGGGGCATTATGGGGGGAGAGGAGGGGAGGAGCTGATCTCACCTCTGGACAGCTGCTGAGGGACCATACAATGCTTATCTGTTCCTCACAGCTATTTCCTGAAGGACTTTACTTAAAGCCACTGTTTAACATTTGAGTGCATTTATTTGGAAAGGAAACATTGTCCCTACCATAAGAAAAAAGAAGCCCCACCCATTTCAGCTTCTGGGCTCTGAAGGCCAGATCCCAGTTGCTCCCGAATGGCCGTGGGTGGAGTCTGGGATTCCAGAAGAGAAGACAGAAGTTCCCAGAAGCCCTGGAGCCTGTGGGGCTGGATCTGGGGCCCAGACTGACATCCCTTCCTGGGCCTGGGCTGCAGATTCTCCCAAGCAGTGGGTGTTTGTCTGCGGGGGTTTTTGATGAGTGCACGTGTAGAGCCAGCTTCCTTCCCCTCGTCCCATGCACTCCCTCTAGCAGCACGGCCCTGCACCCCCCCTTCTGCCCCCATCCCTGGGCACTTGCTGCTCACATCCTTTCAGCAAATGCATTCCCCGGGCCCCGCTCCGCCCCGCTGAGGTTGCTTGCCCACCACTCACCCAGCCGGCGCCCAGCGGTGGTGGGCTTGGTCTTGGCGGCGCACGCGCCTGAGCGGGCTAGCACAGGGCTGGTGGAAATGGTGAAAGAGCCTGTTGTGTGGCCAGGGGTGGAAAGGCTGGGGGTGGGGGTGGGGTGCGGGTGGGGGTGGGGTTGCTCACCACCCCTCACGGGGTCAGCCCTCCTCTTCCTCCACCTCTCTCTGGGTCTGGTCTCTAATCTCCCCAGGACCTGGTTAGTGGGGAGCGGAACAAGATGGAAACGGGTCCCTGGGGACATCCCTGGCTGCCGGGGCATGGATGGGCTATTGGACGCTCAGGTCCACCTGAGTACTGTTGGCCCTCAGGCGTCCTCCGGTGATGGTCCCTCACGGACTGAGGTTATCTTCCGGGGCTAGAGAAAGCGCCACCCTCCCGCCAGGCCTTGGTCCCCTGGACTTTGGAACCCTTCCACCGGCGGCGTATTTAATGTTTATCCAAATGCTAGTTAAGTTTTATTTCTTTGCTACCGGCTGAGACCTTTGGCTGGAAGAGGGAGGGCGTGTGGGGAGGCAGCTGGCACTCACCCCTTGATGGCTGGACCTGGCTTCCCAGGGAGGTGTTGAATGATACCCTCAGGATCAGACAGTGAGGAATGGAGGAGACCTGCTCCCTCCTGCTTTCACATACAGACGTCTAGGTGTGTCCTCAAGGGGAACGCTCAAATTCCCACCAAAATACCCATGATCTTCACCAAGCCTCACGCCTCTCCCCAAGCTTAGCTCTTGGCCCTCCTCTCTCCTCCTACCTCCACCCTCACACCTTGAGGGATGAAGCATAGTCCTCAGTCCCCAGGCCTCTGAGCACCAAGTTTCTGCCTTTACCAAGCAAGGAAACAGGCCACTTCCATATTGGAATGTCCAACTCCATGTGGCCAGAGCCTAGTCCCAATCTTACTCTAAGCATCTCCTTACTGCCTTGACCTTCTGCACCCATCCACCCACCTGCTCAAGCCCATACCTTTAGGAGTGCTAGATTTCTCTCACTCTCATGTCCTTCCACCTCCTAAACCCACTGACTCCAGTTCTTCTCACTGTCTCTGGGGCCACTGTCCCCTAGTGACCATGGATCCTGCTGTATTTCTACTCCAACACTGAGGGCTCCTTACAGAACGTTATGATGCTGCTCGGGTCAGAGCCTGTTTTGCCCAGAGTTAAAGTCCTGCCCTCACCATGGCCACAAGGTCCCATGTGACTTCCTCTCAGAGGACTGACCCTGTCCTCTTCCCCCAGGTCCACGGGCTGCCTTTCTAGGGCTTGATTACTATAAGCCCATCCTTACCTCTGGGCCTTTGTACATGCTGTCTCGTCTCTCTCCCCCAGACATCCTCATGGCTGACTTATCCCATCTTTCAGCAAGTCTTAGATGTCATGTCCTTGTAGTGGCCTAACACCCTGACCCTCTGCCCACCTTTGCTCCCTGTCATACTCGCTTTCAGGCTTGTCTGATGCCTTCTTGTAGATTCACATGGTGGTTGGATGACATCTGTCTGCCCTAAAAAATGTGAACCCTGTGTAAACTGGGACCAGACCCATCCTGGTCTCTGCTGGGGCTCCTCCTGTGCAGGGTACGTGCAGGCTGGTTGTTCCCCTCTCCTCCCTTTCCTGTGGGGCCAAACCTGGGTTCCTAGCTTCTGGGAGGTAGGGTAAAAGCAGTGGGTAGAGTTCATTGTTCATTCCCCAGCCCCCACTCCTGTGTCTTCCTGAAGCCTTGTTCCTCCACTTTCCTGCTCTGTTCTACCTTTCCCTCCGAATCTGCCTGCCCTGGCCCACCCATGAGCCCCCAGACTGTTTTGAGTCCATATCTCTAAAAGGAGCTCTGGTAGTGTAGTGGTTATGAATCGGGCTGCGAACTGCAAGGTCAGCAGTTCGAAACTACCAGCTGTCCCGTGGGAGAAAGGTGAGGCTTTCTGCTCCTGTAAAGATTTACAGCCTCAGAAACCCTGTGTAGGGTTGCTATGGGTCAGAACGGACTCCACGGCACATAACAATAACAACAACTTCATATCTCTTATCTCCTGAAAACTTGCTGGTGACTCTATAGACAGATAATCCAGTTCACACTAGAATGTGAGTGACTGCTAGGTGTCCATAGTCGGTGTTGTCAAAGAGGAGGGAATCCTTGGTGCAGGTGCAGCCTGGGAAAACCACTGAGTATACTTTTACAGGGGGATGCCTGGGTGGGGTCTGAGCTACAACTTCACCAACCTGGATGGGTACTTGGATCTTCTCAAGGAGAACCAGCTTCTCCCAGGTGAGTGGCCCAGGACTTTGCCTCTTACTCAATCTGACGCTCTCCATGGACCTGCCCCCCCCTACCTTACCCCCCCCCATTGGTTCCTTGCACTGGCCCAGGAAGGCGGAAATGGAATGTGGAGAGAGGGGGACCAGAGGTGCTGTGTGGGTGAAGTGGGGGTGGGTGGGTGGGTTACCTGTAATTGTGCTGCAGGCTTTGAACTGATGGGCAGCCCATCTGGACGCTTCACTGACTTTGAGGACAAGCAGCAGGTGTTCGAGTGGAAGAACCTTATCTCACTTCTGGCCAGGCGATACATCGGTGGGCAGGCAGGCGAAGCCGTGATGGGCTGTATCCTCCACTACACCGACATAGTTTCAACCCCTCCCTCCCCGTCATCTTGTCTTTTGTTCATGGATTTGCAAATGGGGTGGGGCACCCTCATATCAGATAGCCCTTCAGGCCCAGATCCTTACCCATGGGCACCTCTCCCTGGGAGCCCCCCTATAGGCCCAGCACACTTCCGTTCCAGGGGTGGGGCCTCAGCTGGGCCAGCCCCCCCATAGCTGTGTGTGAGACCCATGGGACACCTTCGCAGGTAGATATGGACTAGAGCACGTTTCCAAGTGGAACTTTGAGACGTGGAACGAGCCAGACCACCATGACTTTGACAACGTGACCATGACCACTCAAGGTAGGCAGTGCTTCCCGGGGAGGGGCTAGAGAAGGTGGCCCAGGCACCAGGTGAGGGAGCGGGGGCAGTTAGAGAGGGAGCAAAGTCTGGGTCACACCATTGGCCCCTTGGATGTGGACACGTGGTTTGGCTTTCCCAGGATTCCTGAACTACTACGACGCCTGCTCTGAGGGTCTTCGAGAGGCCAGTCCAGCGCTGCTGCTGGGCGGCCCCGGTGACTCCTTTCGGCCCCCTCCCCGTTCGCCCCTGTGTTGGAGCCTCCTGGAACATTGCCACAATGGGACTAACTTCTTCACGGGCGAGGTGGGCGTGCGCCTGGACTACATTGCGCTCCACAAGAAGGTGCGGTCCGCCCTTTTGCCTGGGATCCTGTGTTAGCCCCCCCTCACTCTGCCCTCCAGCCGTGGTCACTGGAGTTGACCCTGGCGGTGCTGAGGGATGCTGAGGTGCGGCCGTCGCCCACAGGGCGCCGGGAGCTCCATCTACATCCTGGAGCAGGAGCAGGAGGCTGTACAGCTGATCCAGCGGCTCTTCCCCAAGTTCACCGACACCCCAGTCTACAATGATGAGGCTGATCCGCTGGTGGGCTGGTCCCTGCCGCAACCTTGGAGGGCCGACGTGACCTACGCCGCCATGGTGGTGAAGGTGGGCTCGGCCCTGCCCAGACGCTTCTCCCGCGCCTGCGCAATTAGGAATCCCCCTAGCGCAGCAGGGCACCTCTCAGGAGCTGCCTTTCTCCAGGGGGCGCTGATGTAGGGGAAGGTGGTCCCAATGGACATGGTTCCAGCCACCCCCAACCCCCTGACATCCGCAGGTCATCGCGCAGCACCAGAACCTGCTGGTCGCCAACACCAGTTCCGCCATCCGCTATGCGCTCCTGAGCAACGACAACGCCTTCCTGAGCTACCACCCTCACCCCTTCTCGCAGCGCACACTCACCGCACGCTTCCAGGTCAACAACACGCGCCCGCCCCACGTGCAGCTGCTGCGCAAGCCGGTGCTCACCGCCATGGGGCTGCTGGCCCTGCTCGGTGAGCCTGCGCCCTCGGTTCCGTTCCGGGGCCAGACTGGAGACATCCTGGAGTGGGCTGAGGGTCAGGTGGGGCTAGGACGAAGGCCTCCCGTGGGTGACTAGGGATAGGTGGGCAGGTCATTCAAAGGAGTAGCAGGTGGCGAGACTCTACGATGAGAGGGAAGCATGAGCTAACCCTGCTGTGGGGGTCTGCTTACAGCAGAACCATTCTTTTTCTTGAGTGCAGCCCTTCGAAGCCCCTTTGCTCCCTCCACCTCTGTGGGCCGCAGGAGTGGCCGTGTGCCCCAGACTATTTTACAAGGAGGAGGAGGTGGTGGTGGTGGTTGTGTGCCTTCGAGTCAGTTTTGACTCAGAGACTCTGTGTAGAGTTTCCAAGGCTGTAAATCTTTGCAGGAGCAGATAACGTCTCATCGTTCTTCTGTGGAGCCACTGGTAGATTCGAACTGCTGACCTTAATGCACTATGCTTTTGGGAGGAGGGGTGCAAATACTATGAAGGCAGGCCTGGAGAGGGGGAAGGATGGTGACTCCCTGACGGTGACCCTCTTGCCCCTTCCCCCACAGATGGTGAGCAGCTTTGGGCAGAGGTGTCCCAGGCCGGGGCAGTGCTGGACAGCAACCACACTGTGGGCGTCCTGGCCAGCGCCCACACCCCTCTGGGCCCCTCTGATGCCTGGCGCGCCTCAGTGCTGGTTTACGCGAGTGACGACACTCGAGCCCACCCTAACCGCAGCGCCGCCGTCACCCTGCACCTGCGTGGGGTACCCCCAGCCCCGGGTGAGCCAGGAGCAGAGGGTTGGGGTTGGGAGCAGAGAGGCAGGGCCAGTGAGCACTAGCTTACCGCTCCGCAGGCCTGGTCTACGTGACGCTCTATCTGGACAATCGGCTGTGCAGTCCCCATGGCGAATGGCAGCGCCTGGGCAGGCCCATCTTCCCCTCGGCTGAGCAGTTCCGGCACATGCGGACGACCGAGGTTCTAGGGGCAGGGGTGGGGGTCTGCCTGGGGTGGGAAAGGGTTACCCCTGTCCTGAAGTCTGGGGGAGGGACATCAGCCCTCCCTGTGAGGCCCTGAGACCTTGCCGCTGCCCCCAGGACCCTGTGGTTGAGGCCCCACGCCCCTTCCCTGCTGATGGCCACCTGACGCTGCGCCGGAAGCTGCCGCTGCCCTCTTTACTGCTGCTACACGTGTGTGCGCGCCCTGAGACACCACCGGGCCAGGCAAGTGATGGGATGGCACTTTGCCAAACCCTGCCCCCAGCCCCACCCACATCACGCCTTCTCCCAGTCATAGTGTCCTCCTTCCCAGGTGACGCGGCTCAGAGCGCTCCCGGTGACCCGCGGACAGGTGCTTCTGGTCTGGTCGGATGAGCTCGTGGGCTCCAAGTACGTGAGAGGGGTCGATGCCCCAACTTTGCCATCCTGCGCTATGCCCCTCCGCTCTGCTGGTTGTGTACCCCGTCGCCCTGCGTGCATCCCGCCTGTTCCGTGTGCACCTGTCTCTTCTCTGCCTACACCCCTTGCCGTCCATCCGACGGTCCAACGCCTCAATGTCTCACACCTGCGCACATCAGCCTATGACATCATGCCCCAGTCTGATGCCTATAGGGGCGTTTTGCAGGTAGCCTTGGGCTCAGGTTCTCTGGCCTCTGAGAATCCAGAGGCTGGGGAGGGGATACGGCAGGCCTTTAGGTACCCATCCTGACTTTGATACAGATCCCTACCCTGACATCAGCCTTGACCCCAGCCCTGGTTCTGACTCTGAGCCCCCCCAGGTGCCTGTGGACTTATGAGATCCAGTTCTCGGAGCGAGGTGAGACATTCACCCCAGTCAGCAGGAAGACATCCACCTTTAACCTCTTCGTCTTCAGCCCACGTGAGCCACTTACCCACTTCTGGGCCTGGGCCACCCCATTCCCTCAAGGGGGCTCTGGGTGGGTGGGGCCCCAGGCTCTTGCAAAGCCTTGAAGAGTGAACTTTGCAAGCTCAGGTGGGTTTAGGTAGACACACATTCAAGAACATGCTTGTGCCTTTGTTTCCCCAGACACAGCTGTTGTCTCTGGCTCCTACCGGGTTCGAGCTATGGACTACTGGACACGACCTGGCCCCTTCTCAGATCCTGTGCATTACCTGGAAAGGGGTGTTTTATGAGGGCCACCACCAGGTGACTCTGAACCTGTACTGTTGAACCTGGGGCTGATCAGGGGTGGGGATGGGCTGGACGCTTAGCTGGTCAGTCAGTCATTGGCTCTGTGTGTCCCACCCTGCCCCCTACCACTTAAAGTGCCTTTTCCCCACATTGGTGTCAGACTTTATGAGTGAACACAGAGTCATCACCGGAGGATGAAGCCAGGGCAGGTGGGACCAGGCTTGACGGCCCCCACTCAGAGCCTGCTCCCCTGCACAGTTTACACAGGTCTCACCTGCTGGCTGCCCTTGGGGACAATCCTGACGTCACGCAGCCAGGTTGGACACCCTGGTCACCACTGGGTGGAGCTGGTCCCAAGTGGACCTTGTATCCCAGTATTTCTGACCTGTCCTACCATGTGGGCAACTGAGCCATTAGAGGGGAGCATGCTACTGGGGGCTGAGGCTCTCTGCACCCTGCCACAGCAGAGGGATGGGGGCAACATCTTCACACCCTAGTGTAGACTGGTCAGTGACAGAAAAAGTTTATGGGTGGTCTCTGTCACCACCCTGGGGTCATCCTGGGCTCTCTTGGGCCCGGAAGAAACATGGCGTGCGTGGTCAAATGAAAATTATCAGAGAAGAGTGTAATGAAGATGAAGGCAAGAGTGGGGAAGTCCCAAGAGGGCATGCCGAATCTCAGATGGGGAACTGTCCACCCCCAGGCCAGAAAGGACAGGAGAGGGAGAGATTGCCTTTTGAGAAACGGAGACCTCCAGCCCAGGGATTCGATCAACATGTGGGTCCTTGCTGGATGAGAACCAGGGAACAGGAACCACCCTCTTGTGCCCCTACGAACCCCCAATGTCCTATCCCAGCCACACTCATCTATCTGGAAAACGAGGCATCCCTGGACCCTGGGTCTCTCCATGGGGCACTCGGTCAGATGGCTCAGGGCAGGAGGGGGAGAGTGGGCCTCTAGAAGGTCAAGTGGGCAGTGGCATCACAGGCAGGGAGGGAAGTCCGCATCTGCTGTACATATCCATGAAGGTTCAGTGGTGCTGACTCGCTCCCATCCTTTCACAGAGCCATGCTGCTGGGTTCACCTTGCTCTCTGCTGGTAGTAGGTTAGGCTTTGAGAAGTGAGAGCCAAGGAGGTCAGGGGAAGTCTGTGTCATTGACTCCGGACAGAACCTTCCTCGCTGCTGTTATGACCGCCTTGTATGGAGTCTGTGGAGTATGTCTCAGACCAGTGGTGCTGCTAAAACAGAAATGCCACAAGTAGAACAGCTTTAACAAATAAACCTATCCTCCCCCCGTTTAGGAGGCTAGAAGTCCAAGTTCAGGGTGCCGGCTTTGGGGAAGCCTTTCTCTCTCTCTGGGCTCTGGGGGAAGGCCCTTGTCTCTTTTTAACATCTATGGGTCCAGTGTTCCTTGGAGATCGACCGGTGTCTTAGCATGAATCTTCCCATGGGTTTAGGAACTCTTCTTTCTTGTTGTCAAAAGGTCTCTCTCCTCTCTGCTCCCTTGTGTAATGTCTTTTCTATCTCAAAAGAGATTGACTCAAGATACAATTTGATCCTATAGATTGTATCTTGGCTTTATTACCATGATACAAGTGAGCATTTACAACACAGGGTAACCACAAAGTGGAGGACAATTCCACAATCCTGAGAATAGGGCCTAGACAAGTTGACACATATTTTCTTGTTAGTTGTCATAAGTTGGCTCCAACTCAACAGCAACTTTATGCACAACAGAACACACTGCCCGATCCTGCGCTATCCTCACAATTGTTATGTTTGAGCTCACGGTTGCTGCCACTTTGTTAATTCATCTTATTGAGGGTCTTCCTAGTTTTTGCTGACCCTCTACTTCACCAAGTATAATGTTCTCCAGGGACTAGTCCCTCCTGATAACATGCCCAAAGTACGCGAGATAAAGTCTTGTCTTTCTCATCTGGCGTACGGTACCTCTTCCAAGCACATGTGTTTGTTCTTCTGACAGTTCAAGGAACTTTCAGTGTTCTTCTCCAATACCATCATTCGCAGACATCAGTTCCTTCTCAGTCTTCCTTCTCACTGTCTAGCTGTCACATGCATATGAGACGATTGAAAGTACCATGGCTTGTGTCAGGTGGACTCCAGTACTCAAAGTGACATCTTTGCTCTTTAACACTTTAAAGAAGTCTTACAGTAAATTTGCCCAAGGTCTGCTTTCTTGATTGATATTTCCATGAGCATTGATTGTGGATCCAAGTAAAATGAAATCTTTGACAACTTGAATCATTTTCTTGGTTTTATGATATTGTTTATTGGTCTAGTTGTGAGTATATTTCTTTTCTTTACATTGAGGTGCAATCTATACTGAAGACTGCAGTCTTTGATCTTCATCAGTAAGTATTCCAAGTCCTCTTCCATTCCAATAAGCAAGGTTGTGTCACTTGTATATCACAGGTTGTTGGTGAGCCTTACTCCAATCTTGGTAACACATTCTTCACATAATCCATCTTCTTGGATTGTTTGCTCAGCATACAGATTGACTATGTGTCATGGAAGAATACAACCCTGGCACACACCTTTCCTGATTTTAAGCCTTGCACTATCCCCTTTAACCACTCATTTGTCAGTGTGTCATACTGTGGTGACTTGCACGTTGTTGTGATACTAGAAGCTATGGCACCAGTATTTTAAATAGCAGCAGGGTCACCCATGATAGACAGGTTTCAGCGGAGCTTCCAGACTACAGTCAAGGAAGAAGGAGAGGCAGACCACTACTGAATGGTTAGCTACTGGAAGCCTTATGAATAGCAGCCAAACATTGTCTGATACAGTACCAGAAGATGAGCCCCTCAGGTTGAAAGGCCCTCAAAATATGACTGGGGAAGAGCTGCCTCCTCAAAGGAGAGTTGACCTTAATGATATAAACCGAGCACAGCTTTTGAGACCTTCATTTGCTGATGTGGTATAGTTCAAAATGGGAAGAAAGAGCTGAAAACATCCACTAATACTCAGAATGTGGAATATACAAAGTATAAATCTAGGAAAATTGGAAGTTGTAAAAAGTGAAATGGAACATTAATCCTGGGCATTAGTGAGCTGAAATGGCTATTATTCAGTGAATATTTGCTGAATATAGTTATTGGCTATTTTTCAGTGAATAGTTATGTGGTATACTATGCTGGAAATAAGGAGCTCTGGTAGCGTAATGGTTACGAATCGGGCTGCGAACCTTAAGGTCAGTGGTTCGAAACTACCAGCCGCTCCGCGGGAGAAAGATGAGGCTTTCTACTCCCGTAAGGATTTACACCCTCGGAAACCCTGTACAGGGTCGCTATGGGTCGGCTCCGACTCGAAGGCACTTAACAACAACAACAACATGCTGGAAATGACAAATTGAAGAGGAATGGTGTTGCTTTCATCACCAAAAAGAGCATTTCAAGATCTATCTTGAAAAACAATGCTGTCTGTGATAGGACAATAACCACATCTGCAAGGAAGACTGAACCGACTCCATGGCACATAGCCACCACAGCCACCACCACCACAACAAAGTAGACCAGTTAATAACCAGTATTATTAAAATTTATGCACCAACCACTAAAGCCAGTGGTGATGAAATTGGAGAATTCTACCAATTTCTATTTGAAATTGATCAAACATGCAATCAAGATGCATTGATCATTAATGGTCATTAGAATGTGAAAGTTGGAAACAGGAAGGATCAGTAGTTGGAAAATAGGGCCCTGTGATAGAAACGATGCTGGAGATCACATGATAGAATTTTACAAGACCAATGAACTTAGTCATTGCACATGCCTTCAACAACATAAATGAGGACTATATACATGGACCTCGCCAGATGGAATATACAGGAATCAAATTGACTACATCTGTGGAAAGAGATGGTGGAGAAACTCAGTATTCTGAACCAAAACAAGACCAGGGTGTCGAGGACCGGCCTCGACAAGGGGGTTTGGTTCACGAAGTTGGGAGATCTGGTGGCGACAGAGATAGAGAAAGAATACACACAAAGACGCAAAGAGAGAGAACACAAAACACCCCGAAACCAGAGTGGATGCGACACTGGCGGGCAGACTCTGGACTACTGGCATTGTGGCCCCTGCAGGCAGTAAAGCGCCGCCCTGCAAACCTTAATGCATGCCTTGCCAGCTGTAACGCCTCGCATGTCGGTCGTAACGCACGCGGGCTTCGGTCTGCGCCCCAGTTTTATTTCGGGGAGGAGCTTTACACAAAGGAAGGCGGGGTTTATTAAGATGGGGTACAGCAGTGAAATGTGATTAACCGTTCAACACAGGACACAAGGATTTACAGGTACAAATTCTAAAACATACATCACAAATTGTCTTGATAAACTAACATAGTTAATTTTCCAGAAATTCAAGCAAATTATTATATGGCATTTTTCAGGTTTGAATCCCAGGGCAGCAACTCGGTTTCTCCAGGCTAACTAACATACCTATAGCACCTAATCTCAGATGGGGGAAGGTGAAAAGAATTGGGAGAAGTCCCGCTGTGTTGGCTGCCTGGGCCAGGTTTGCAGGAGGAATCAAGATGCCTAGGTCAATGGGCTGCACCTGGAAACGATTTAAGACAGCAGTCCTTTTGTTCTTTGAACAAAAGCTTGGAAGTCGCCCATCTACTTTGAGTTAATTCCTTGGGCAGCCTGGCTCCAACAAACTTGCCTTTGGAACTTTTTACAGCCTCGGCTTTAGGGGAGGTTTTAATATTTGTCCATGGGTATCAAGGGCTCATGTATTAAGTTAATATCACACGTAACTAAATAATTTGATAAAGAACAGTTTGGACAAGCTTGCCCTGTGGCCAGAGTCTGTTCCTCAGAGAGATTTGTTCTTAGAACACCTTAGCACTGCCAATACAGTGGAAACATTGAGAGAGGCACATTAGGAAACCATTTTCTCAGATGCTACAGTTACAGGGGTTTGAAGCATAGCATGAATTAATAGGACTAAAGAGAATTATACAGAGCTAGCCCCACAGTGAGTTTGTAAAAGCCAATGAACCTGGGACGTCCGGAAGTTATTTCCTTGAGCCCACAGGGTCTCTGGCCAGCAAGTCTGA